CAGGACAGGTCGCAGAGCAGGTAGCCGACGAAGACGCGGTTCGTGAGGCCCGAGCGCGCGCTCGTCGCGAAGAAGACGTCGGGCCGCGTCCAGACCTCGAGCTCGACGCCCGCCGTGAAGCTCAGGTAGACGATGACGATCGCGTGCAGCGAACTCACGGAGCTCGCGCACCAGTAGGCCTGCGTCGCGGGCTTGAGGGCGCCGTAGGTCTCGAAGAGGATGCCGTTGGCGACGTGGGACAGCTTGTAGCACGCGAACCAGAACGCGTACCAGCAACCGATGGACGCGGCGAGCTCCGACATGGTGTGCTGTGGCGGCGCGGCGCGGTACACCGCGCGTGCAACCTCGAGATCGGGCGTCGGAGCGTCGAGGGCAAGCAAGATTTTGTTGTGGCAAAGTCTGACTTCAGCGAGCGCCGCACGCGATGAGTCGCGACTAGCAAGCGCAGGCCCAACCCAAGCAGCCTCGCCGCGCCGTAAGACACGTCAACGATGCGCATCAAACCAGTCGTGCTCGTGGCGTTCGCCCTGGGCTTTGGCGTGACGATCCTGACGCTGCAGACGACGGCGAGCCACGCGAGTCTACGCGGGCAGGCGCCGGGCGCATCGCCGACCGGCACCTTCGCCGCGGAGGCGGCGCCGCACGCGGGACCCTTCGCCATCCAGCGGCCGCCGCCCGCCGCGCCCGCAGCGTCCGATCCGCCGCCGCCGCCGCCGCCGCCGCCGCCGCCGAGGCCGCCGGCGAGGCCGCCGGCGACGGAGGAGCTGGACAACTTGGCGCCGCGGGCGCCGCGGCCGCCCGCCGCGCCGCGGCCGCCCGCGAAGGCGGCGGATCCGCCGCCGCCACCGCCGCCGGCAGAGTCGAAGGTCGCGGTGACGAAGCCGCCGCCGAAGCCTCCGCTCGCGCCGCCGAAGCCTCCGCTCGCGCCGCCGCGGAAGGGCTACGGCTGCATGACGTGCGACGGCCATGTCATCGCCGACTCGGAGGTCATCTACTGGCGGGACCCGCCGGCCGTCGCGCCCGCGTCGCTCGGCGCGCCCGAGCCCGACAAGTTCCTCACCTTCGAGTACGACAGCGGCGGCTGGAACAACATCCGCATGGGCATCGAGTGCGTCCTCGTGCTCGCGCACTACCTGCGGCGCACCCTGGTCCTGCCGCCGCCCCAGTCGCTGTACCTCATCGCGAAGACCTACGGCGACCGGAGGGACTTCGGTTTGGCGGACTTCCTCAACACGAGCCTCCTGGCGTCGCACCCGGGCTGGCGGACCAAGACCATGCCCGAGTTCCTCAAAGAGTCCATCGCGGGCGCGCCCGTGGCGGAGACGCCGAGCGGCCGCCAGCTCTGGAAGCTGGTGGAGAAGTCGTCCGACGCGCTGCTGCCGCCGCTGAGCGGCCGCTACGTGAAGTTCGGCGGCGAGTCCTACGTCCCCGAGCTCGCGCCGGGGGGCCAGAAGGCCGTGGCCCTCGACCTCGCGGACAAACGCCACGTCCACAGCGCCGGGAGCGGCAACCACCGCATCCTGCGGAACTACTACAGCTTCCTCTTCTTCGAGGACGGCCCCGTGAACCGCTTCTACAAGCGCTTCATCCGCGACTACGCGCGCTACCAGGACCCGATCCAGTGCGCGGCGCACAAGGTGCTGTTGGAATTGCGGAAGAAGGCGTTGTTGACGACGAACGCGACGGACTTTTACGCGATCCACGCGCGGCGCAACGACTTCCAGTACCGCGAGGCGAAGATCTCCGCTTCCGACATCGTCGCGAACCTCGCGGAGCTGGAGATCCCGCGGGGCGCGCTCGTCTACCTCGCCACCGACGACCCCGCGGGCAAGTGCAAGGGCTGCCTCTGGGAGCGGAAGCCCTGCGACAGCTACCCGGTGCCGCGGCCGAAGAAGTACGGCTGCCCCGACGACCCGAGCTGGACGGCCTTCACGCGGGACGCGGGCTGGAACGTCGTCATGCTCGGCGACTTCACGGACGGCGTCCTCCGCGACCTGAACCCGAACTACTACGGCATGGTCGACCAGGTCGTCTGCACGCGCGCCAGGGTCTGGGCCGGCACCTACTGGTCCACGTTCTCCGCCTACATCCACCGCATGCGCGGCTACCACGGCCTCGGCGAGGCCTCCTACTACCACACGCCGGGCAAGCTCCGCGACCTCCAGATGGAGAAGCGGAGCGGCCCGGGCTGGATGCGCGAGTGGCGCGCGGGCTGGACCGACGACGACGCCGGCGGGCTCATCGACCGGTAGCGACGCGTAGCTCTAAACGCACATTACGCTACCTAGTTGATCGACGCGTGGAGCCGCGAGTTCATGTTGCCGCGCTTCCGGTTCGA